GGTTATTTTTCAAATTAAAATACCCACGTTTTAGAAACGTGGGTTATTTTTCCCAAACAATAACCCACGTTTCTAAAACGTGGGTATTTTTTCCCAAAAAATAACCCACGTTTTTCTAGGGGAGGAATTCGAAAAGGGGGATGTGCGCGTGGGTACCGGAGGGCCCAGAAAGGGCGGTCTTTTCTTCGAGAAAAGTCATGGTGGACTGGCATGCAAAATGCCAAAAAAAACGCATAGCCTCGAAAGCGCAGCCGAGAAAGAGCACTCGTGCTTTCATTAGTACGGTACGTACAGTACAAAAAGTTGCGATTTCGAAATCGGAAATCAAATTCAAGTACTTGTTGCTCTCGTTGATGTCGTTGAAAGTTCGTCCAAATAGAGGGGTCGACGAGGTGCAAAACCGAAAATAACTTGAAACGAAAGTACAACAGTAAAACTTCACAATCGTGCTGCCTACCAATCTCAAACCAACGGATTTTCTGATTCATGTCGACAACCAAACACTACGGCAATCGAAGCAATTGATTCGAAGCCGAAAGGATTTTGTTCGCACTAAGAATCAAGAAATCGAAGGAATTGTCAGCGTTTTTACTCCGAGATATACTTCGACACTGTTTTAATATTGTATTTTGCAATGGCTCATCTCGAACAGTTGACTCCACAAGAGCGAGAATGGGCACTCGCTTTGGATGAAGCGATTTACGGGGAAGTCAACCAAGGAGTTGGATGGAGTCTTTCTCCGAGAGGGAATAGCAGCAATGATCCTAAAACCACGCCGACGACAACAAATTCGCGAGCTGCTACTGAACTGTACGGCAAGCCGTCGGACTTTGAGATTGTAGCACACGCAATCCGTGCCAAGGGCGATGTCCAAAGAGGACTTAGGCGACTCAAGCGCATGAAGATGTTCAAGGATGAATACAGCGTTCCCGACTTCGACTTGGATAGTAGTAGTAACGATCCGCTGGAACCTATCCTCAGAGTGATGAAGAAATTTCATTTGGCCTACCCCCATTTTATACAAAAAATTGGGATGGACAAATTTGGACGCGTTGCGGTCCAACTTCAGTTGGATGGACTTAGATGGTCGCTTTCGCCACCTTTCAATCACACTGAAACTGAACGATTTCAAGCTTTCTGCTTTTTATTGCACGCCACACAACCTACCCTTGAATCAATTCGTCGCGGAACAGTATGGATCGGGGATCTCCGAGGTATTTCGCAACGGCCATCTTCTTCTATGTTTCGCGGCGCGCGAATGCTATTTAGAGATTCCTATCCTATCAAAGTCGAAGATATACCGGTTGTAGATTGTCCACCTAAGTTCTCGGTTGCATATGCAACCACATACCCCTTTTTATCGAGTCATTTTGTCGACAAATTTGTTCGAGTTACACCGGAGGTACTCCGACAACATTTTCCACCTGAATTATTGAGCGATCGACTACGAGGAATCAACAATACGAAGAACGATAACATCAACAAGCGACGATTTCGATCTAAAAAGGCTAGCAAGAATAATGCAACCGATCAGAATACTAACGCTGTCGATATTGCTTCTATGGATGGAGATGAATCTGAAGCCTCGTGGGAAAATCTTGACGATGATGACGATGACGTCGTAAGTTATGGTGGTAATAACGGTAATAATTCTGGTAATGGGAGTGTTGGCAATGGGGAAACGGACGAGAGTGAGGTTTTGACGCGAATAGAGCGACTCCTTCGAATGCGATTCGAGACAGAAAAAAATTTTCGACTGGCTTGATCGTTGTCTTCAGACACCATAATTCTTTTGCAGTGAAAGCATTTCAATGGATCCAAGGTCGTTGCAGATCTGTGGTAGCAATAATTTCCCATCACTTTTCACGAATCAGAATTGCTTTACAAAGGTATCTCTTTTTCCTTTCCTTTGGCATAGCAAACCATGATATGATCTGCGTTGGTAGAGTGAGTCATACGGAACTACGGTTGCTGACTTCACTCAAAGCTGACTCTCTTTATTTGAGCCTCATCTCGCATAGCAAGAACCTATTCAATTTCTCTCTCCTGCAGCGTTGGCTTCTCTTGCACCATTTTGTTTTCCTAATCTTTTATGTAAACAATCATCAAATCAAAAACTTATACCGGTCTTCCATCCACCACAGCTAGTATGCACCAGTCACTTCCCTCCTACTTGCACCAGTCACTTCCCTCCTACGACAACAACTACTAGTAGTAATCATCTTCATCCTTGGACATGCTTGGAACCAGGGCTCTATTTGTCAGTAAACATCATGACCAGCAACTATATTTCAAGGCACCAATAGTAGACGTGTCCCTCCAACACTCACTTATTCCCCAATGATCCTTAAGCAAAAGGATTCTTATCTCAAGCTAACAATACTTTGCTGTCAAATTGCCTCACCAGAGTGTATGAGAAAAGCTTCATGCAAGTATATGCATACTCCAACAAACGTCCAATTACCCAATATTTTCCATCTTTGCCTTACTGTAAATAACCCCTGGAAAGCCCCCAATTGAACATTTGTCATAGTCCTGCTTCACTAATGAAAATTTTCAAAGAGGAGAGTTCATCTGGCAAAGAATCTTTTGCTTTTGGGTCATAAGTTTACATCAAAGTACTACTGGTATGCTTTTTTGATGATGGTGATAACTCTTGTTAGTGGGGTATCCATATTCTACACCTATTTTTCTTGTATCTTTTTTGGTATTTTTTCAACCACTCTGCTCCTTAATGACTTTTGGGATTGTTTATTTGTCAATTTTTTTTCGTGCACAATGGAGAAGGATTGTAGTAATTTGATTTTTGTTGCAGACGTGATCGGATGACAAAGTTAAAGATGTGAAATAGTGTCGCTGTAAGTGACGTTTCAATCGGAATAAGTAGTAGAGGATTGGCGATCTCCACAATTTTAATCTTTTGGCTAGTTTTACGTAGGTTGCTTTTATGGGTGTTTTTAGAAAAGGATTTTAGAATACATTGGAATGAACAGATATTTGTCGCAAAAGTAAATGAAAAGATCAGTTGCTGATCGCTGGTGACCGCCGGACCGTCGGTGTATGTGTGGCACTAAAGTCGTTTCAATTATTGTTCAGGGAGAAGATATTGAGAAAGGATGCACTCCAGGAGACGCTATCTCTACCTGTGGATTGATTTCGACGATTGCTCGTGCTGTTGCTTTCGTGACTGCGATCGTTGCAAAATCTCAATCTATATGTTTCAAATTGCTTGGTCGTCATTGATCCATCGTGGAGGTAAACTGCCCGAAACAACGGATCTTTTGACCCAAATCCACTGTATCTTCTTGTCTTTTCTAGAACGAAACGAGAACAAGAGCTGTCACTTCTCAATCTTGGTGACACACTATCACCGCCACAGTCATCGACTTCTTCGATATCCTCTGCTTGCTCGAATTCACTGTCGTTGTCGTCATTCTCGAAGCCCGCTATTTTGCTAGATGTCGTTGAAGATATGTCGTCGTCGTCGTCCGACGCACCCCCCAAGATCTTTGAGGCGTCTTCCGTGCGATTTTGATTGACCGACATATGTATATTTTTTCTGATGTTCTAGGATGATCTGATTAGATGCAAAAGAAATGTTGTTGTTCAATTCAACCTCGCCGATGCCTTGAACGGAAGCGGAAAATGGAAAATGTGAAGCCGCGAATCCCAAAGAATGTCATGACAAAAAATGTAGAAGTACCGTTTGTACTTACTGTACAGAAATGTGAATCTTTTTGATGAAATGAGGAATTTCGAGTTTCAACCCTTACGTTTTACATTGGAGCTAAATCTGCCCATAATTTTTAATGAACTTTCCATACTGATATTCTTTTTGAATTCCGAATTCTGTAGTAGTCGCATGAGCCCATCCTGGCTCTACGTGCCTTACAGTAAGTGCCAGATACTACGTACAGTAATAGATACTGTACTACGCTACGACATCGTTACCGTAATCAGTCACAGAACCTTGGCTGGCCGTACGCTACGTTAGCGTTATGACGTTGTATTACAACGTACGTACTCGTAATTCTTGTAAAGCTTACACTCCTTGGTATTGTACGTACTACGTATTTGGGTACGTACCGTAAATTATGACCCCTACACTGGTGGGTTTGTCCTGAAGGAAAGTACCAGTAGGAAGGCAAATGTGTGGACGAAAAGTGTAATAGGTTATGAGTACAATAARACGCGCCAGTTTTTAGCTGTGAGCTCTTAACTTTGCTTGCTTGTTAGTGCTACCAAAGCACCAATCAGATTTAGAGAATCCATTAGTCGGAAAGMGTTYTCCTTTCTCTTCACAACGATGTGCACATTGCTATGTGAATTTTGTAGAGAACGTTTTCGGGCTTGTTGATTTCTCTGCGCACCGAAAAACCGAAAAACTCTCATTTCATCAACCTCATCATAGGACCTGTCACCCCCATTAGACTGAGCACTAAACAACACTCTCCTGTCCACACACCCACCGGAATAACTTCATTATAACAAGGGGAAGGGGATCCGGAAGTATCGGATCGATCGACCGAGTGGTTTACAAGAAACAGGAGTCCTAAGCTACAGCTAAAATATCAAAGAAAAATATGAAAAATCGCAACGACGAACTCCACAGTGTAACTAAAACRAATCCACCTTCCCCCCCTTAACAAAGACAACCAGTGTGTCGGACGTCCTTAACACATCAAAGGCGACTTGATCCCGAAGTATCGTTGCAATCGACCGAGTATTTTGAAAGAAAAAGCAGTTTTTGCTGTATTTTGAGTGTATTTCTTTGGCCCTGAAATGAGCAATAACAACAACAACAC